AAAGGCTGGCGGAGAAAACCACACATGACACTTAAGTTTGGTAAGTCGGAAGTGATTTTTTTAAATTTAGGTATGTTCACAATTATTGAATACACATGCAAAACAGTCATACCACATTGAAATACACATGAATACAAGTTTATGAGTAATTTCATCTGCTTTTATAAAACAAACTTTTAATATCTTCCCTCTGCTGCCAAATCCATCTCTCCTCCAAACTTCCCTATCCCCAATCAAGTCAATACTGCCTTTCCAGTCAATTGGCTTCCCAACCTTAAGAGTCCTGCTCAATTCTTCAGTCTCCCTCCCCTCATTATATAAGATCAGCTCCCAAGTCTTGCCAGTTATACCTCCACATGCCTTGCTTTCATCCTCTTTTCTCCACTCACACTGCCAGTATCCTCATGCAGCTTTTCATCACCTCTTGCCTTACTACTGAAACACCCTCCTAACTGGATCCAATTTCCTGTCTCCCCTTTCCATCTGTTTGCCTTCCTCAAGAATCTTCAGTAGCTCCCTAATATATTGAGGCTAAAATACAAACTCATCAGCATGGCAATTAAAGTGCTCATGATCTGGCTCCAGCCTAACTTTTCTTTTCTTTATTTTTTTTTTTTAGGCAATTGGGGTTAAGTGACTTGCCCAGGGTCACACTGCTAGTAAGTGTCAAGTGTTTGGTCTGAGGCCAGATTTGAACTCAGGTCCTCCTGACTTCAGACTGTGCTCTATCCACTGTGCCACCTAGCTGCTCCTCCAGCCTAACTTTTCAAAGATTATTGCAAATTACTCCCCTTCTTGCACTCTACCTTTCAGTCAAACTGTCTTATCTGCTGTTCCCCAAACTCAGCACCCCATCTCCCACTTCTGTACTTTTGCACAAACTGTACCCCCTGCCTGCATTGCACTCCCCGCTTCTCAGCTCTGTTTCTTAGAATTCTTAGCTTCCCTCCAAGCTCAACACATGGGCCAGCTCCATCGAAAACCTTTCTGGATACCAGCGGTTCTTAGCCCTCTCTCCCTCCTCCTGAAATTACATGTGTATATGTGTGAGATTCTATACACACACACACACACACACACACACACACACACCCCTGTTTACAGATAAATAAATTCACTAGGGGACTTCAACATTTTGATGTTTCCTTAAACATGGTAGCCTCCCAGTTCCTTAGCCTCTTGAAACCACTTGGCATTCTTTTATTCCACAAGGACATTCACACTCTTGATCTCACCATTACCACAAGTGTTCTATATACATGATTAATTCCAAAATTCCCTTAGATGACCCTAACTTTCTGTATCTCCCAGTAATTCATCCCTCCCAAATCTGTCTGTCCATAATGTGACCTCTGGTCTCCTCAATCCCTCAGTAATCTCCAAGTAATCTCCTATCCCTATTCTAACTTCATTTTTCTGTCCTTCTCAATCTTGACCCTACAGTTAACCAGTCCAACACTGCACTGTCCTCTACTCATACCTTGTGCCCCCCACCCCCCCATATCCTACCACCACTCATGCCTTTCCAAACCCCAACTGTAGATTACTCCCACTATCCATCTCTTCCAATCCTATTCATATGCTACTGAACAGTGCTGGAGAGTCATCCAACCACAGTGACTGGGTACACTCCAAATTGCAAAGCTTGGCTCATGCACCACCTCCTTCATCAAGCCTTTCCTGATCTCCCGGCTATTACTATCTTCCCCCAAATTACCTCGCGTTTATTTTGTACATGCACATTTATATCCTGTCTTCCCTATTAGAATGTAAGCTCCTTGAGGGAAGGGACTGTTGCTCTTCTGTCTGTGTCCCCAGCACTTAGTGCAGTGCCTGACACATGCCAGACTCTCAATAAATGCTTGTCCAAACAGATGGTTAAACTAAGGATCTCTAATTCTCGTCAAAACTCAGTCACTTCTGGTACAAGGCCTTTCTTTGACCCCTTTATGGTTGTCAATGTTTTCCAGACCTGCCAACATGATGATGGTTATCACTGGCAGTCATTCCCCTGCACGTGAGCTGTGCCCTCCCCACAGAACACAAACACCTTGAAGTTAGGAACTCTCCTTTTGTCTTCTCTTCGAAGTTCCTAGCACAGAGCTTGTGCCAGGGAGGACATGCAATTCTGAACTGGAGGGGAGGGTCTAGAACTCCTTCATTGTACTCAGAGAAGTTAACAGACACTTGCCCACGATCACACAGGGCCGTTGTCTGGGACAGAGTTGGAGCCCAGGTCTTACGGATTCCAAGCCTAGTACTGTGCACAGTAAACCATGCTGCCTGTAAAGTGATGAATGGATGCTTGTTGGATGAATGAATAACTACTGCATTCTATACCTAGAAAAGACATTGGGTTTTGATTGACCTCAAACTCAAAAGTATGACATGGTTGCTGAAAAAAAGAAAAAAATAGTGCAAACTCAGGCTCCATTATCAAGAGCATAATATCTCAATCAAGGGAGTTAGGAGTCCCACTGTGCACTGGTCAACTCACACCTGAAATGTTGTTCACCACTGCATGCCACATTTTTAAGAAGGTTAGCAACAAACTGGAACACAACCAGAGAATGGTAACCAGGATAGCAAAAGGTCTAGAAACCACTCAGTTCAATGACAAACCGTTAAAAGGATGTTCAGTCTAGAGAAAAGAAGAAAATAGAAAAGGGTTAAGTCCAAGGTCAATAGATCTAGGTTCTAATCCTGGCACAGCTAGTGAATACATGACCAAGGACAATAGAATACATGCAACCTCTCTGTCCTTAATCTCCTCATCTGTAAAATGAGGGTGCTGCTTGTCTTACAGCTGTGAGGAAAAACATTTTGTAAAACAAAGCACAAAATATGAACGATAATCATAATTACTGATGATAATAATCAGAATAATAGGCACCTATGAGCATTCTTCAAATGACGAGAATATTAGCACCTCCCTTCTCAGGGTTGTTGTGGAGATTAAATGAGATAATATGGAAAGTGCTTTATTATTAATATTACTAGCATTTTCTGAATGTTTAAATGGCTGTCACCTAGAAAAGGGATTAAATTTATTCTGTGTAGCTCAAGAAGACAGAATTAGGACCAAATGAACAGAAATTATAAGGGGAAGGTTTAAGCCCAATTAAGAATTTCCTAACATTTAGAGCTGAGGTCAACTAGGTGACATAGTGGTTGGGCCTGGAGTTGGGAAGACTCATCTCCCCAAGTTCAAATCCAGCCTCAGACATTTACTAGCTGTGTGGCCCTGGGCAAGTCACTTAACCCTGTTAGCCTCAGTTTCTTCATCTATAAGATGAACTGGTGAAGGAAATGGCAAACCACTCCAGTATCTCTAAGAAAACTCTTAAATGGGGTCACAAAGAGTCAGAAATTACTGAAAATAAACAAACAACAACAACAAAAATATGGAATAGGAGCAGCTAGGTGGTACAGTGTATAGAGCACCAGGCCTGGAGTCAGAAAGATCTGAATACAAATCCAGGCTAAAATACCTACTAGATATGTGACCCTGAGCAAATCACTTAACCTCTATTTGCCTCAGTTCCTCATCTATAAAATGGGCATACTCTAGAGAAGGAAATGGCAAACCACCCCAGTATCTCTGCCAAGAAAATGAGGTCACAAAGAGTCAGGCATGACTGAATGCCTAAACAACAATAATATATGGAATGGGTTGCTTTATTAAATAGCAACCACCTGCTAAGTGGAGGTGTTCAAGCACAATCTGTTAGGGATGTTGTAGAAGAGATACCCAAAAAAGGTGGGAGATCAGATTAGATGACTCAACAACAGGATTCTACAGTAAGTGAAAGCTGGAAGATCAGGGTGATGACTGGCAGAAATCTGTGTCAGGTCGTGAATAACCCCTTCAGGCCGTGGTTGGAAAATATATTACTAAGCACAAGATGAACTATGATGAAACAGCCACACACATCCCCAGTCACCTCCACAGCAAACTAAAAACAAAGAAGGGAGGGGGAATGGTCCCTAGAGAGGAAGAAGAGAGAGTAGTTCATGCAGCTGGCTGACCAGACAGGCCCACCTGGGAAATATCCTCCAATCTCAGCTCTGTGTAGCTTGGGTAGAAGTCATAAACTGAGTGAAACAGGATTAGAGAGAGATAGATGGCTGAGGATCAGATTAGTCAGTCATAGAATAAACAGGGAAATCAGAAAAATTCCATGTTCTTTTCTAGATTTGTGTCAAGATTTGCTATGCGACCTTGGAAATATCACTTCCTGGCGAGTGAGTCAATTTCTTCATCTGCTGAATGCACAGTTGGCTAAGGCTCGAAAGTACGGCAGATTTAAATAGGCTGCAGGCAATGCATGTAAAGTACTTAGAAAACACTCTGGGTAACAAATTCCACATATCAATTCTTAGCTTCAGACATAAATACCAGGGCTTTAATGAATGAGTCACATGTTGATTGTACAATTTAAATTTGAACATCATGCATTTCTTAAAGACATCTTCCTAAACTTAGTGGAAGTGGTTTGGTAATATGGACTTCCTTCCGGTAGTTTTCAAAAGTAAAATGTTCTGAAATCAGGGCAACCTTCTAAGTTCCACAACTGCTGGTGCTTCAGTAACTCTCCCTTAGTTGTTGGGTCCAGCCTGGTTCTACACCAGAAAAATCACAACTTTCTGAAGCCTCCCACAAAGAGATAATGTGCCAAGGAAAATTGCCTCTGGCATACAGGTTAAATAGGGCACAAAGGAAAGTCAGATATCTGCCCGCAGAAATCAAGCACATATATTGATTAATTATTTTCTAGGCCTACTCGTCTTACATGACAAGAGAATTTCATTAATAAACAGCAAAAGTATACAAGTGTTCTTTGTACTTCCGACTTGGTAATAAAGATCTAAAGATCTTCATACACAGGAAACCTAATGCTCTCCTATCCCCAACTTTTCTAAATCCTGTTATGTCCCACTAATCCCAATTCATTGCCAAAGTCCAAGATTTCAAAAGCCACTTCTGCAAATTCACCTACCGGACTCTTTGCATAGCCCCCTGCACTGCCAGATCTGTGGTTCTTCAGGGGATCTCCATAATCAGTAGCATCAAAGTTAGACCTCCATACCATCACCTGAAGAAACAAATGTATGTTATTATATGTGTACATGCACATACAAGTGTATATATGTACATACACATGGGCAGACATATACGAATGCATGCATATATATCAAACCATATGTGGGTCTTATTCAGCTGTGGAAATAAGCCTCTACACACTTAAGAAATAAGAGGAAAATTGAGTAGCAGACACAAAGGGAGGTAACCAGTGGGCCTAAACAAAAGACAAAAACTGTTCGCTATTCCTTTGCTATTTGGTTTTCCTAGAAAGCTGTGTATTTCTAGCAGTTAGATCCTTGGGTTTTCTCATCCTAGTGATTGGGGAGTAGAGGCAGGAGAGCAGGGGCAGAACAGTAGTTTGAATTATCAGGGGGTAGTAATGATAAGTGCAGGAAGAATTAATGCATTCTGTAGATTAAAGGTAACTTTTACAGGCTTAATGACTTTTAAAGGTATGGCTGGTCCATACATTCATTTGACTATTCATCTGAAAAATGTGAGCCCACTAAAAGTTGAAAAGAAATAACATATCAAGAGCTCACTCCTTCCTCAGGATTATGTCAGTTCTTAAAGTCATGAGGGTTGGTCTGTGACCTTAAAGAAATATTTACAATCTGGACAGAGCCACTTTAATTTAAGTAAAATATTTTTTGACGAGTCAAAAGGTACCTGAAACTGGACTACACTGTAATGGGACGGGGATTCACAAAATACTTTATATCTTTTGCAATCCAATCTTGGTAAGATGAAATAGGACCAAAGGGCTAAAAAAATTCAAAGGGGAGAAAAAGCAGAGAGACAAATAAATGCAGTGTGTATGTTTTTAATACAAATACATAGGGAGGGAAATGTTACGATTTCTACATAATACAAAGAAGGCAGCCAACCAGTTTATGGGCAAACTGCAATCAAACGGTGTTAGGAAAGTTGCAAAACAATCAATCATCAGCATGAGTGTAGTGAGGAAGAGAATGCTGGCCTGGAAAAGGTCAAGAATTACAGGAGGAGACTTTTTCAAGCATTCTTGGGTGTATGCAGTGGCTTCAGACTGTTTGTGTCAGGCAACAAAAAAAACAGAATAGAAAAGAAATCTCTGCCCAAGTATTAAGTGGATCCATTCTAAAATCCTGTCCCAGTAGATTGTAAGCTCACTGAGGGCAGGGGCTGTCTTTGGTCTCTTTTTGTATCCCTGGCACAGTGACTGGCACAAAATTAAGCACAATGTGCTTAATAAATGTTTATTTGATGGGGGTAAAAAAAAAAAAAGAATTACCGAATGAAAAGCTCTACACTTGTCCCATTCATTCATAGACACTGGGACACAGGAGCAAGTTCACAACTGGTTTTGTGACTTTACTATTCACCCAACATGTCTATGTCTCTATTTTCCTTTCTAATAAAATGGCAACAGAAACCTAGATTCACCCCCATAATATCATGATATCATAGCCAAGTAGAATCAAAGCATTCTCTAAGGCAGGAGGAACTTTTACAGGTTTAATAAATTTTCAAGCTATGGATACTTGCAAAGCTGGTGGTTACATTAATGACTTTAAGATATCTATCTGTTAAAGGCTCTAGCATGTGAAAGAAAAACTAAATGTACATTTAAAAATTCAAATCCTTATACTGGCCATGTTGCATCAAATCCAACCTATATTCTCATCTACTTAATTTTCCTCTATACAACAGACAAGGGAGAAGAAATCCCCAAAAATAAGGACAATGGAGAAGACTCTAAGTACAACATACCTTGTTTTACCAAGTGGAAGCAGCTAGTCTTAAAGGCTGCCATTTTTTCTAATCAGAGAATGCACCTCATTTAAAGTCCACAGGTTTCAGAACACGAAGGAGAGAGAGTGGCATGGCCTCACCGTCCGTAGCCCAAATGTATGCCAGACAGATGTTTATACTTACTTGCTCATCAACACCTCCAGAAGCAAATAATTCCCCTGATCTTGAAAAGGCAACACAGGTAGCTGGCCCCTATTATTAATTGGGAATGGAGAGAGAAGGAAGAGAAAAAGAAAGAGAATGATACTAAATTATAACATGAAAGAAAACAAGAAAAGTTTGTGTTAAACTGGTACTAATACAAAGCCTTTAAAATATAAGTAATTCTCTCCCCAGGACTGAATCTTGAACATAAGGTTGGCATCCTACTATGCATCTCTCATCTGATCTTTGGATGACTCATAATTCCAGAAAAATACCAATAATCTCTACCTGCTCTCTTCACTCTGCCCCCCACATCTGGTCCCCTTCTCCTTGCCAATATCAAAAGAGCTATTCTGTTTCCAAGATACTCTTTCCCATCTCTACTTTCCATCTAAAGGATTCCCACTTCAGTTAATTCTCTAGTAAGGCCTAAGGCCTTATGACTAAAGATCTTAAGCCTAATGACTCCGAAATCTACATATACATGGGCAGCTACTTGGAGCAGTGGATAGAGCACTGGCCCTGAAGTCAGGAGGACCTGAGTTCAAATCCGGCCTCAGACCAAACACTTAACACTTACTAGCTGTGTGACCCTGGGCAAGTCACTTAACCCCAACTGCCTTAAAAAATAAATAAATAAATAAAAATCTACATATGCAGTCCTAGTCTCCCTCCTGAGCTCCAGTCTCACATCTCAACTGTTCACTGGCTATTTCAAACTCAATACCTTGTAGACATCTTAAATTCAACATATCCAAAACCTGAATTCATTTCCCCCCAAAAACTTACCCTCTTCCAAACTTCCCATTTCAGCCAGAGGCAACACTATCCTTGAAGTCACTCAGATCTTAATGTTATCACTGACCCCTCATTCAATGTATTTAATCAGGTGTTAAATTCTGTCATTTCTACCTTCACAATATTTCTCATATCTGTCTTCTTCTTTCTACTTGCATAAGCACTATTTTAGTTCAAGCCCTCATATTTTGCCTAACGTCCCCCTTCTTCCCCCCACCCCTCCACATGTTCTTTATTACTGTGGATGGTTCTCTGGATAGGAAAAGGTTATTCATGAAAAGGAAAGTAATATTAAAAAAAAAAGCAAATTTTTTAAAAAATAAATAGCCCATGAAGCATCCCGTGTAGTCCCCAGTCAAAGAATAAATTATATTTCACATTTCCAACTTGTACAGGGAACTGCAGCAAAGTTCACCAAAGTGCACAGCTGGAATGTCTCTAGCTTGCCAGCACTGCTACACTCAGTCAAGCCTGCAGCCATCTGGTTCAGTCTCTGAGGACATGAAGAAAGACATGGTTTCCCTCCTTGATATCAATCTCAAAATTCAGAGACATTCCCCAAAACAGCCTTGTTTCCCCAAAGTACACTACTGTTGTTTATTCATGCAGCATTAATCTTAACTCTTCTGACTCTAGAAATACCTTCACTTCTTAAGCACCTTGGAGGTTTCTCTGAGTGATAGTTGGCACTGGGGAATAATTAAGACATATGACATTTGGACTCTTTAGTCAAAAAGAAATGGAATGGGACAGGAGTATCACAAGGTAGTATTCTGGAAAGACCTGGAAGTATCCACAAGTTTAGCTTCTTCGAATATAGCTAGCCTACTTCTCACTAAATGATTACAAAACTGTCTGTGGATCCAAGGTGCCCACAGTATCCCACTCCCTCTAACCACAAAGCCTAACACATGAGCTAAGAGAGTG